CCGAATACGGACTCCGGGGGCGGGGCGGCTGGACCCCACACGGCGGCCGCCGCGAAGGGAAAGGCGCACCAGGCACCTGCCGCCTCCGCCCCGGTGGCCCCGGGTGGGCTCGGCTCTCACCTCTTCGGTTCATGGGCCTGATCCGGACGGCCACTTTCACTTTGGAGTCTCCCATCCTGCCGCCGCCGCCGAGACTCTCGCTCGGCTTCCGTCTGCCGCGGCCACCGGGCAATTCTTCGGCGCTGACCGGGCGGGAGGGGGGCTACGGACGAGCGAGAGGGGCGGGGCCTGGGGCGGGGCCTGTTGAAGGGCGGGGCCTGTGCGCTCCAGCTGCACGACGGGACTTGTAGTCCTGGAACTGGAAGGCGGTCGTGGGCAGGGAGGGGTTTTGGAGGGAGATTTCTGTGAGTGTTGGCTCTCAGGACCTTAGGGCCTTGTAAATGGCCCTCTACCTTTTCACTATTCTTATTTTTATAAGCTATCGATGAGCTGGTGCCTCAGTTGAGAACAAACAATTGAATAATTGGCGTTGGAGCTCTTGCAGCCTCTCAGACTCATTTCTTGCCAATTTAGGGTTTAATCCAGGGCCAAATTATTTTCTCTGCCTACTTTGCCTTCCCTTCTTTTGTTTCCTGAAATCATCCTTCAAGACTAAAGTTAATGTCTCTGGAAGTATTCATAGATCCACAAATTAACTTCGTAACACCTCACCCACTGCCCTTCTGGTCTAGACCTTGGTCTCTGGAACCCATTTGGATTCAAATCCCACCTCAGCGCTTTCCACCTATGTGACTATATATAAATGATTTGACTGCTCTGTGCTTTCATATGTAAAATAAAGACAATAAGAATGACTACTTTATAGGATTGTTGTGAAATTTAAGTTAGTTAATACAAGTACAGCTCTTAAAAACTCCCTGATGTGTAGGAAGTGCTCAGTAAATGTTAGACATTATTTTTGCTCTCTTATAGCGTTTATGCTGCAACTATTTATGTCGCTCTTATCATATATTTTTTAAACCATTCTTACTTGTATGTGTAGCCTAGCCTGTAGTACAGACCTACTAAACATTTATTGCGCAAATGGATCAGTGAAACCACACTAAAATTAGCTCTTTCTTAAGCTGCTAAAGAAAAAAAAAAAACTCACAGGCCCAAAATGGCCTCACTCATGCTAAAAGCCCATGACACCAAACCTATATGTCATACCTGACCTAACTGCAATTTCAACCTCTCCCAGAAACATAATCTTAATCAACCAGTACAGAATTTTCTGGTCAAGCACCTGTAAGGTAATGTGTCCTATAGGCCGTCTCCATCCCCCATAGAAAGAAGAGATAATCTGTATAATAAAAACCCATCCCCGTTTTCACCCCCTCCCCCCCAAAAAAGATGTTCCTGTCCATAGTTAATCTTTTCTTTACCTAATAGATCCCTTCCTCCACCCTTCTTCCTATAAAATCCTCCATTTTGTACAACTCCCCCGAGCGCCCTTCTAGTTGCTAGACGGGATCTCCTCAATTCATGAATCACTTAATAAAGCCCATTAGACCTTCAAAATTACTACATTGAATTTTGTTTTTTTAACAGAGCCCTAGCAGAGACTGCTAACTGGTTGCCTGTGAGTAAGATCTGGCCTGCAAATATGTTCTGTTTGGCCCAACAGTAGTGATCAACGCATGAAAATCAGGAGATTTTTATATGCAATACAGGGCCCACGTGACGTATTGGAAATATGGATTGGAACTGAGGAGCAGTGGTCACCTTTCTAAGACATAGGTCTCTCCAGTTCACCACAGCCCCACTCAGGTCTGCTTTACCACCATACGTCTAGATCCTATGGGTTTATTACACCCGCTTGCTTATTGTTTACATGACAGTACAGAACTCGAACCCATTTTACAGATGAGTAAATACAGAAAGCTGGCAAGACTTGTCTTTGTTACTAAACGTCCTGCTGTTGAAAGAACTTCAACATAAGCCGAGTTGTCAAAAAGGTTAAAAACACCTTTAAGAGCAGTATAATCCTGACACATTCCACGACATGGATGAACCCTGAAGACATTATGCTAAATGAAATAAGCCAGACACATAAAAACAAACGCTGGGTGATTCCACTTACATCAGGTACCTAGAGTAGTGAAATTCAGAGACAGAAACCTGAATGGTGGTTGCCAGGAGCTGTGGGGGAGGGAGAAATGGAGAGTCAGTGTTTAAAGGGTACAGACTTTTGTTTTGTCAAGATAAAAACAACAGTGTGAATGTACTTTATGCCACCGAAATGTACACCTAAAAATGGTTACAAAGGTAAATTCATGCCATGTATATTTTACCACAATTTTCAAAATGTTAAATATAGGATCATGTTGTACATCTGAAACTACTGTTATATGTCAATTCTAGCTCATTAAAAAAAAAAAAGGCTAAAAAATAGAAATGCTACCCCAGAAGGCCCTCTTTAAAAGAAGGGGATTTCTTTCTTAGAGGCACTACTCTGAGGTTTCAGGAGGGCCTTCTCAGCTGGAGAAGCAGTGGGTTCTAGCACAGTAAATCTTATGATTTTCACAGCCCAATAAAGAAATAAAGCAAGGAGACCCAACATAGAATTGCCAGCTGTTTAATCTTACCAAGTAAATTCTTTAAAAACTAATGCAAGCAACAATTGCTATCTACTATTGTCATCATTTTCTTTTTCAAGGAAGTTCACAAAGAATATATTTTTATGTTGAAATTGTTTGCTTGATGATCACAACTGTCTTTTTGTTTTAATTAGCATTGAAAAAACTTTTGTCATAGCTCCTGGACTGATCACCAGAATTGGGTACTCTGGTCTTAACCAAATTGCCTAATAACCATCTCAACACATACAGGTTATAACAAATAAGAGTTTGCAATGTGCCAAGGTTCCTGGGTATTCATTTTTTACTTTATATGTCTCTTTTAAAAGGGAGAGTGAGAAGGAATGTTCTGATAGTAGCTGGAATCTAGCTTTTAAACACAAGCAAGACCAGCAGAAAAGAGAAGTTCCACAGTTTCTATGGGAACATTGTATTCAAATTTAAGTTCAAATTTCAGAGAGGAGAAAGCCCCTAAGGAGTTGAAGGGGAGTGGGGGAGATATAATAGGGAAAAGGTGAGGACTTTCTCTAAAGTTCCAAAACCAGTTAAATAGTCTGGAAACATTGATTGGATGAAAATGATAGTAGCTTCCTAAGAGACTGTAGCGGAAAAACCCCTGTGGGCTATTCTACCTTTTGACTTCTAGTCACAGAAATCTCTTTTGACTTGTGCTGTAAACGTGAGGAGAGATGATTCTGAGAGAATCCTGAGAAAGAAACAAATAAGATGCGAGTTACAACCTGCAGCCAAGGAGCTTGGGGCTTTTGCACCAGGTAACTGGAGAGCTGCCCAGTCACTAAGCTGGGCAGCGGAGGGGGCGGGGGGCGGGGGCTCAGCCTCCAACACAAGGAAGGAAGAGTCTTGGTTTCTCCTTTTTTGAACTATTAAGAGAAAGAAGAGAAAAAGAACTAGTAAGTAAGCCGCTGCCTTGAGCCTTTGTTGGTAAAGCAAGTACTTAAGATATCAACCAATGCTGCATTCAAGATATTGGGGTTGGTCTGCTTAATGCTGAATTTTAGCTGCGTTGATAAGAGATTTCTCCTTGTTCTGTTTTGTTTTGTTGTTTTACTTTGTCCTGTCAGTTGCAAATCCACTTATTCTAAAACTAATTTCTAATTTACTTGTCATGGCTTTGAGCCACCCATTCATCGGTTTCTGACGGTCCCTGTACAGGCTGAGGAAGACATTTCACCCCATTGTCGTAAAATCATGACTTACAGAATAATGATAGCTTAACATATGCTGAACACTCACTGTGTGCTAGACACCGTCCTAAGCATTTTACACGAATTTACTCACTTAATGCTCGCACTCACTCTGTGAGTGATTCCTGTTATTATCCCTGTATTACAGATGGAGAAACTGAGGACCTAGCATCTTACCCAAGGGCCTTGTGTTGCTGTTGTGACCTTTTCTCCCATTCTCCCTTTTATCATGATGGCAAGTATCTATGTGCAGAGTGCTCAGCCCAAAGAAATTCGAAAAGATCTAATTTTCACAATTCTACTTTTCGAAATAGTTTCTAAAACCCTCTTATTTGTAAAAAGTGAGACCTCTTTATTAGCTTCTATTTTCTGCCTTTAGAAGAAGGATGGAGTGAGCTAATCACTTCATTGAAGCCCAGGACCTCTCCAGCGAACATCAGTATTTACCTGCTTTCCGCAGAGTTGGCTTTGGCAGAGCGCTTGGTTTTCCCCAGCTATACCTGTCTCTCCTCCTGTCCCCCCATCTATACTGTGAGCACAAGGAGAGTGTCCTTTTCCAAGTCTCTTTATCTTCAACACCCGTAAGGACGTAGCTGTTACTTAGTAGGCAGGCACTTCATACATTTTTAGGAAAGAAGATATTAATACAGTATCATGATTAACCTCAGACAGATTAAATGATTTGCCTAAAATCGTGTAGCTAGTAAACCACAGGGTTGGAATGCAAACACAAGTGTTTGTGATTCAAAAAATCTGTGCTGTTTCCACACACAGAAAGGCCATGCCTATGTTTCCTCTTACGTATTTTTCATGTTAGCGTTATCTTTCCTACGTTGTGAATTCCTGAAGCCTAGGTCTCAGTAATAGCAGCTCTCCATAGCTATTATTTATCAAGCACTTGTTATGTGCCAGGCATTGTGCCCAGCATCCCATATATGTGATCTCATTTAAATATCACAACAATCCCATGAGGTCGGCGCTGTTGTTATAGTCTTTGACAGATGGGCAACTGAATCTTAATAAGGCAAGTTAACTTTGCACACTGGCCTGAGTAAGAGATTCTTCGTTGCAAATGTGGAGCCTCCTGTGTGCCTTGCCTGAGCTGTCAGATCATTACCATACACGAACTTGCCTCTTCACTTGGTATCTGGTGCTCTGCTGGGTCCCTCAGCCTTTATTGATACTCTTCATCAAGCACCCACTGGGAGGGCCTCGACCTGTGCTCCTTGTTTTAATTATTTTATTATCTTAGTCAACAAATTTCTCTACTATGTGTTTGGCCATATGGCATTAGGTGCTTCGGCTACAAAGATAAAAAAATGTGCTTCGGCTACAAAGATAAAAAAGATGAGCACTAAGAAGTTGGGTTAGATTTCTGGAAATTTTGCAACTTTTCCCTGTTGTTTTGCTGCCTGTCACCAATGTCTGGGAATCCCCTCTAAAAACAA